CTTTCTGGCATTAAATACATAGGTTTAAAAAAATTAGTTTAGCCGGGTGGCAGTGGCCCACACCTTTAATCCCAGCACTCGGGAGGCAGAGGCAGGCGGATCTCCATGAGTTCGAGGGCAGCCTGGTCCACAGAGCGTTATTCAGGACAGGCTCCAAAACTTCACAGAGAAACCCTGTCTCGAAAACAAAACAAAAATTAGTTTAAGTATGCTATATCATATCAAACATTACAGCATTTTTTTGAGATTTTGTTTTTATCTTATATATATGAATATTTTCCCTGTATGTTTGTGTGTGTACCACGTGTGTGCCTGATGCCTTCAGAGGTCAGAAGAGGGAGTCAGATTCCCTGGAACTGAAGTTCTGGATCAGTTGTAAGCTGCCCTGTAGGCACTGGAACCAAACCAGGTCCTCTACAGAATGAGCAAGTGCTCCTCACTGCTGAGCCGTCTTCCAGCTCCTGTAGGGTTTCTTCTAGTATTTATTCACTGGAATTACTTTTGCAACTTAATAAAGTCTTTGCAGTCTGGGTTTTTGTATTTACTAGGGTAGCTGCACTTGACTGTGTTTTGAACAAAGGATGGTTTGTTCTTCTCGGCTATAATTTTTAGTGGCACACTTACTCTGTGCTCTCAGAAGTCATCAGTAGCCATCTTGAGGGAGAGTCGTGAACACAAGGAACATGAGGAGAGAGTGGGAAGCCTTTGGTGGTCTAGACATCCGTGCCTTGGGTGTGTTTGGTTTGTGAACATTCAGTGCACTGCACATAGTGTGTTTGGCTCTTCAGTTTGCATACTTTCCGTCAATCAAAGGACTGTTAGAAAAAAAACAAACCCAGAAAGATAATTATGACTTCTGCATTTTGTTCTGTCCAAGTCTTTGTTTTAGTTTAGATGATGTAGAAGTATGGGGATATCAGATTTTTATTTTTAAAACTTTCGACATTGGTTAAACATTTGGCATAAGATGGCTCTAAACAAAGCCGATGTAAGTGGCATAAGTAGCCTCTGGGTCTGTCCCTCTTCCTCACCTTCCTGCTTGTACTTTCTGGGACTCCCTGTGGGTTAACAGTTTTTCAACTGCGCTCTTCAGAGGAGTCTTTGAACTGTTGCAGACCTCTGCAAACTGAGTGTGAGCCTGGCACTCAGAGAGGTTAGCAGCACTCTGAGTCTAGCAGTTCTCGCAGATGGAGTTTCCCCTGCTTCTTGGCGAGCTTGTTTATAAACGTAGCACACTGAGCAGTTAGATGTTTAAGTGGGATCCACTGTGCTGTGTAATTTGCTTATTCCTTATTTTCAAGTTTATTCATTTGAAATTCTTTCTGTGGCAATTGGAGCTATTGGTCTATTCTCTCAAATCCAGGAACAAAATGCTCATTTAAAACAGATACTTAAAATTTTCTTTAAAGATTTTGGTTACTCATGTGTGTATTGATCGAAAATTTAGGTCTCCCCCACCCCCATTTCTCCCTTTCTCTCTTTATTGAGTCAGTTATAAAGACTACAATAAGAACGCTTACCTTTCTTCTATTATCAGATCTTCTCCTTTCTCTGCCACATTTAGATAAATTACGAGTGTTCTCAGGCTGCCAGTGTTTTTGTGTAGAGTATTTTTGTCTTGTTAAGAGGACTTCCAGATAAATCAGTGTATAAAACTCATGGTGCTCTCTAATTCTAAGCCCGAGGCTTATCAGAGTGTGTACACTCACTGAATGGGTTTAGGTACAACAGTACACATAGCTATCTCACTTACCAAAGATAAAAATTCTTCTGTTTGCCAACCTATAGCTTTTGCTATTGGAAAGATCAGACACAACAGTGAAATACAAATCTAAGAAGGTCTATATTGTAACTGTTTTTCTCCTAAAAACCAATCAGAAGCTTAACCCCGTTACTAGTTCTCTGAAGGGAGTGCCCTGGGTGTAGCAGAGATGTAATAGATGGGTGTAGGACCAGGGAAGCCCAAAAGCTAGAGTGAGCAGTAGTCTTGTGGGGAATCTTTGCATTTTAGAAATAGGCCCATTCCAGCTTCAGCCAGTTCCTTGTTTAAAAAAAATTTCAGAGGCAGGATGGAGTCTCTTTACAAATCCAAGATAATTTTAGAACCCACTCCTAGACCTCTCAGAGACATTTGATCTTGGACAAGTGCATTTTCTCTCCTGTAAAATGCACATCTGTGTGAACGAGGGGTTTTGTGCTGGTGACTTGGAAAGGAGCTGAAGTCTTTTTGTCTGTGTTGAATTAGAAAGGAGCCTGTGATACTGGTCCTGTCAGCCAAGCAGATTTGACTTATGCCTGTGGTGTGGGTTTTTTGTTTTTTCTATCCCTTTAATTAATTCTTAAATCAGTTGGTGGTGTATGCTTGGATTTCTTGGAAACAGTTTGAAGAGTCAATTTCTAAACGGGATTAAGAGTACTTGAAGAGTTAATTAAATCTGGCAGAAGTGTCCCTGTTTATGAAAGTTTGTCACAGATCCATGAAAGTGAAAACGGGGGGTGATTTACACCGGAGTGCTCAGTTTGGGAGTGTTTCTAAATGAAACGTTGGCTGCATGCCACAGATAACAGAATCCTAATGGTGGAGACACTTGTGTAGTTCTGAGGCTGACTCCAAAGGACAGCGGCCTTGGGCACAGCGGCTCAGCGCTCCCACAGCAGTTTGCCTTCTGTGGATCCACGGCCGTTAGAGATATGTCCACGGCAATGGACGAGAGTTCTGTGACAGCCCTTCCTGCAGCTGGTCACCTCATACACGCACTCTTTGCGATCTCGTTTGCACTATGGCTTTTTAGTGGGTGGGCATAGTGGCCAGACTTGCTGGACTAAAATGAGGATTTGAGATGTTATTTCCCTATGCATGTATATTTATTAAAAACTTGCCACTAATTTTTAATAAAAGTCAGTGTTGCTACCGACACACCAGCTACCCTTTAATGGAGTTTATCTGTTTATCAGTTTATCTGTTTTCCGTTGCACTCAGTAGAAAAGCTGTTCATCCATGATGCAGTAAAGATACTCACACGGAGGAGATTTTTATCTCGTAGGCTGTACAAAATGGTGAGGGGTGCTGATAAATCTCATCCCGAAAACACTGACTAAGCACAGTGGTGTCATCAAGGCTGGGTCGTGTCTGCAGCATGCCTCTCATATCTCTTCTCTAGGTTCAAAGCAGTGGCACACAATTGGTCACCTGCAGCCAGAAACCTCCTATGACATTAAGATGCAGTGCTTTAATGAAGGTGGAGAGAGTGAGTTCAGCAACGTGATGATCTGCGAGACCAAAGGTAGGAAAGGTGTGGGGGTCTGGGTTCCTCCCTGGCCACTGTTAGAATCCCAAACACTAGGTCATATCTTGGAATTATTGGTATGTTTCTGTGTGGAAATTTCTGCCTTGGATGAGTTTTTAGATGCATGCATTTAGACTGCCCCATAGAAATACCTTGTGTTGGCTACAAGCACTTATCTAAAATATTGTCTACAAAAGCATTAGTGGTGTCCATTACTTTCCATGTGACCATACATAAATCACTTCTTTTTTCTTATTCTCCACAAAGAGAGTAGAAATATTTGCTAGCCACTTTCTATGAAAATTGAAATGTCATTAGAACTATAGAAGATTAAGGAAAAGTACGACACCTGTGCTACAGTTAGGAAAAGGCAACATCTGAGGCTGGGAACTTTATAAGGAAAAGGTTGTTTAGCTCACAGCTCTTGAGGTCAAGGGCATGATGCTAGCTAGTGTCAGTTCAGCCCTGTGAGGACCTGTGACAGGTGGCATCACAATGATAGGAGTGCACACAAGAGAGCCAGAAAGCCAGGGAGGCCAGACAGGGGCCAGGCCTGTTCTTTTATAACAGCTCCATCATGAGAACTAACTAGGACCTCACAAGAACTCAAGCAGTCCCTTCTGAGTCAGGTCCCCAGGAACTCCCCTCTAGGCTCCTCCTCTTTTAGGTCCCACTACCTCTTAACATGGCCACACTGGGGACCAAGACTGGGGGATACCCTCACGCCACAGCAATCTGCTTAAAGTAGTTTCTTGAAGGACAGATACTTGTACTAGCTACATGCTTAACTATGTGTTATGTTAAGTTTAAAATAGCAGTCATGGATTTTAAATTGTCACTCTCAACTCTGCTGACACACAGAGAATGGCTATAAAGGGATCTGTAAAAGGAGGAGACACCACATGGGAATAGAAGAAACGGTAAATTTGGTGTTCGTAAAGCAGAAGTGAAAGTCCTTATTCCTCTCTAGGACTTTTCTCAATGGTCTGTAACACAAAAGTCTCTGCTGGGGATCTCTGTTGTCCCATTGCTTAGTGAGAAGCAGGGAACCAGCCCTGAGCTCACTTAAGGAAGTTCTGTGTCTTCTCCTTTCTCTCTGCCTTCTCCTGGGTGCCAGTGGGGTCCTGAGTGCAGCGCTGCTCATAGCCAGCCAGGGATCTGGCTTTACATGTAGGCATGTAGGCATGCTGAGATCTGGTAATGCCTGTTTTTAAAAGATAATAATTATTAAGAAGTTTATTATCATCATCATCATCATCATCATCATCATCATTTTGCATAAGGTCTCATAGATCCCAGACTAGCCTTGCACTCCCTAGGTAGCCTTGAACTTCTGGCACTTCTCCCTGAATGTTGAGATAATAGGTGTACAACATGATATTCGGTTTATGTGGTGTTGGGCTCAAACCCAGGGCTTTGTGGTCTGCTCTATCCCTAGTCCTTCCTTTAGAAGGACCTTTTTAAAGAAGGCTTGGGTAGCATGGAAGAAGGAAGTTTTTGAATACTCAGGCTAGCCCTGAGTGTCTGCTGTAATTGTTTTTATTCAATGTTAAGGAAATGAATAAAAAAAGGAAACAGAGATTCAAGACTGAATTGCAAAGCCAGGCTCAGGTTTCCTCTTATAAATTCTCAATCTTGTGTCTTTCTGCTGAAAACTTCTTCCATTAAATCCACATTAACCATCTGTCCACGTGGACCTAATCTGGAATTTCATTTGGTTCCCATATATCTGAGTACCTCCCTGAAGCAGGCATTGTGAGACGTTCAGGAGGACTTCTTGTGTGTTTCTAGAGTGCTGTGATACTCAGAATAATCAAATGAAGTATGTCATCTCTTTACCCGAGACATTAAGAATCTTGCCGGACAGGGCTGGAGAGCACAGCAGTTGGTCCCCAGCACCTATGTTAGGTGGTTCACACTTGTGTAACTCCAGCTCCAGAGGACCCAGTGCTGTTCCGGCTTCTAAGGGCATCTGAACACACATACGTGTGTGTGTGTGTGTGTGTGTGTGTGTGTGTGTGTGTGTGTGTGTGTGTGTATTTATATATATATATATATATACACAAAATTATGTATATACATATACATATATATATATGAATCAGGCACAAGGTGAAACAATACTGGCATAGAGTTGTAGCTCAGAGGGAAGGAACCTGCTTACATGTCCCAAGTGGTCTTTTCTGTCCCCAGCACTGCAAAGAAGGAAGGGACTGAGACAGTATCATAATGCATTTTATAGTCATGTGGCTGTGTTCAGAAGAGCACCCCTCATTAGCAGCTGCAGTTTACAGCCAGTGGACGTTCATTGACTGGAGGCCGGGAAGTCAGAGCATAGTGCTGACAGTTTGGACGGGCCTCCAATACTGTGTCGTAGTGCAGTAGAAGAGCAAGTGAAGGAGGCTGGACCAAAAGGATCCATATTCATACCCATTTTCTTAGGACCAACCCACTCTTGTAATAATGACGTTGATCCATTGGTGGGGGTAAGGTCCTTACTACCTAATCACCAATTTCACTTTTTAATGCTGTTATCATGGTGGTTAAATGTCTACATGAGTTGGGAGACAGCCAAATTCAGACCATAGCACTTCCTGTTAACAGCCTAAGACGGAGCTCTTTTTTGTCTCCATTTTCTGAACACAGAACAGGTTCGTGGAGGTGAAAGTGATACAAGGAGGTCTGAGTTTAAACCTGGGGATCCTGGCTCCAGAGAATGGGCTGTCAGCCACTGTGCTCTGCTGATGGCAGAATGGGACTTCTTTTCGATGACATGTAGAGCCATTAGAATATTTGACTTGTAGATGGGGACAGTGGGGTTTGTATCAATCACACTTGTTAAATAGTGCTTGTGATCACAGCTGCCCAGAATCCTCATCAAGTAGGTAAGAGGACCATATTTACATGGACTCTAGTAGGCCTTGTTGGGGATGCTTAAAGGATGCATGAGGTTTTTTGGGATTATATGTAGTTGCTATAGTAGTTTGCAGTTAATCATCCAATGTTCCTTTTTTTCCTGGTAGAAGAATAAAACACTAGCTCCAAGTTTTATTCAGAGGAAAATATATCACACAGAATGAGTTTTCTTTTCTGTGTTTTTTGTTTTTGTTTTCTGTCCATAAGTTGAAGTATTTTATTTCAACCCAGGGAGTCTTCTGTAAGCACAGTTCAGCAGATCATCAGACCACTGTTTGGGTCAAACCAATTTGTATGTTTCTTGGCTCTTAGAATTGCTCAAAAATTTGTGGACTACAACTCTGGCAGATCAGAATTCAAATTTTGGATCTCTCTTTGTGACTCATTGGTGGTCATATCGTCTCTGTAAGGAGTGTAAACAGACCAGCTGGCATTCCTAGCCAGACCTCCTTCGGAGAGTCCATTTCATAAACTCTGTATTCACTCTGACTTAATTTTTTTTTTAAATATTTCATCCAGTGAAACGTGTTCCTGGCGCTTCAGAGTATCCCATGAAAGACTTGAGCACCCCTCCCAGTTCTTCAGGAAATGGAGGGAACGTGGGGCCTGCAACCAGCCCTGCCAGGAGCAGTGACATGTTGTACCTCATCGTTGGCTGTGTGCTTGGTGTTATGGTCCTCATTCTTATGGTTTTCATTGCGCTGTGTTTGTGGAAGAGTCGCCAACAGAACACTATACAGAGTGAGTCATTTATAAGTATTTCCTTGTATTTTTCTAAAGATGGGTAGAAAAAATATTGTCAGAATAAATATTGATTTCTAACACTTTCGTGTGTGTGTGCCATGGAATGAAAGCCGTTAGATACTCGGAGGGGGTGACTTTAGAACCAGTCAGGCTGCCAGCCAAAGTAAGTGGAGCATCAAATTAAATTGCCCAATAGAAATAAACACCAAAGCCAAAGCTAAGCAGGTCTCGGAGTAAATAACTGTCTTGGTGCTGGGAAAGCCTGGCTTTGTTGGACCACCAAAGAGGATGAGCGCTTGGAGCCTCAGTTCTGGAATCACTGTAGGAATGTCTCCATGCTGCTGCAAGGCTAGTCAACAGGAAACGGCTTGCTGGAAAGGAAGGTAGTGAAGCCTCTAAGTTACTGTCAGTAGGTGTCATGAGCAGGGATGACACGGTCCTGCCTCTAACTGCTGTACCCAGACAACTCTGAAGCGGCATACTGTCGTCTCCCAAATGCATCAAGGAAGAGGTGTGATTCTAAGGTTGATGCTGGTACTGTTTCAGTACCAATAGCCTTCCTCTCTTGTCCCCAACCATTTGAAACACTAAAACCAAATCAAGCAGGGTTGTCAGCCATTGGTGAGGAGAAGGTGTTTGGCCTAAGATTAAGAAAATAAAAGAAAAGCAAGAGGAAACCCATAGCGATAAGTATTTCCAGGGGCCATTGTCACATTATCCCCTTTTAAGTTAGTAACTCATGAAAAAGAATCATCTATTTTGATTGGACATTGCCTTCCAAAAGAGGCAGACTGCATTGCTGATGTCAGGCTGCCAAGCTTGTGACCATTTGATTGGGCCTTATTCTAAATGGTTCTAACACTTTACTTTAAATTGTATGTGTGTGTTGAATAGTAAAGCATTGTTCTGGTTATCTGAGCAAGATTGATCTGATAAGAAGCCATTTTCCTTTGTGATGATAACATCTTTATAAAATGGAAAATTATCATGGGAGTGTTTATTCGGCCGTTTATGCCACCAGAAGAAACTCATTGTCTTCTGCCTGTCAGCCACTTTACCAAACAGTGTCCTTCAACTGCTAGGATAATCCTGGCCTGCTCTGAAGGAGCACAGATAAACTAGAACAGGAGTCTGTGCTTCTGTGGGGAAGCACAGGACCCGGAGAAACCTGGAGAGCACTTGGCAAGAACCTGGCACCAGATGGGTCGAGTTTCAATGCTGGGATTCTTTCTAAGTGTACCCGGCAGATGTGCCTCTGGAAATCAGAATTTGCTCAAGTGCTTTTAATATAAGGAATAGATCACCTTTTTGCCTTTGGTACCTCACACCTTGGCATGCACAGTGATGGGAGGAGCTATTGAATAGCCAGCCAATGGACACATGCCATCAACTTTTTTTACCTAAAAGTGCTGCTTATTAATGTTTAAAGGGTTTTTCCTCAGTATTCCGACCATTGTTTGCAGCTCTCTGCAGTGTGTGGGAGTCTAAGCACGCCTGCCTAACTGTTGCCATCACTTGGACGGTTTCCTTTTGCACATTATTCCCTGGGGAGTAATTTCTCCCTGATAAATTTTTCCTTCTATTAACAGAGTCTGAGTTAGCGCAATGTTCCAGACTACTCTTCACTCTAAAGAAATAACAGCAGCAACTTCACCAAAGTGCTGTGAGAGCAGTTTAGCCTGTTTTATTTTAGTCTTGTTGCTAGTGTCTTAGTGATTTCATTAATAAAATTTCTCAGCAGGGAGATTTTTTTCCCTTCAGTCTCTGACTTTGCTTTTCCTTCTGGGCTTGTTTTTTTCCTTTCAACAGAATATGATCCTCCAGGATATCTCTATCAAGGGTCAGAGATTAATGGGCAGATGGTGGAGTATACCACTCTCTCAGGAACAGCCCGGATCAATGGGAGTGTTCACGGAGGCTTCCTCAGCAAAGGCAGCCTCAGCAACGGCTGTTCTCATCTCCACCACAAAGGCCCCAGTGGAGTCAACGGGGTCCTGAATGGAAGCATAAATGGAGGGCTTTATTCCGCACACACAAACTCGCTAACCAGGACGCGTGTGGAGTTTGAGCATCCTCACCATCTAGTGAATGTAAGAGACCTCATTCCAAATGCTAGTGTCTCTAGGCCTCTGTGGCAGGGTGTAAGGACTGGTGGTCGCTCAACTCTTTACACTATAGGCCCCTCATATGTTGTGGATGTGGGCATGGCGTGGGTCACCAGCAGCTCCAGATCCAGAGGAGTCTTCATCAGTTTTCTGTCACCAGTAATAGCTGGATTTGTCAGCTTGATCTAGCTTTAAATTATTTAGCACCAAGTGAAATGCAGAAAAGAACACATTGAAAGTTATTCTTGAGACAAAATGGAAATACCGCTGAGCAAAGACCAGGCCAGATGGTTCGCATTTGATTTACTTGGAGCTGAGTCTGAGAACTCAAATGCTGTTAAGTCTGGCAAATGGAGGAACGTCCTGCAGCACATCAGGATGCCCCGGTGAAAGAGGGGGTGGCAGCTGCTCCCCATTGAAGAAGCAGTTCCAGTTCTGCCCAAGCTGTGGTCATGCACAGTGCAGGACCTGGTGTTGCTAAACGGTGACCTTTTGATACATGAGTGAATATAGGTAAAAGTCACCAGATGCTAGGCTTTACTCAGATTTTTTTTTCCTTCTTTGCTAGAGGTGGAACCTGGGGCTTCTCCTAGAGCAGGCAAGTGTTCTGCCGACAAGCAGCACCCCCAGCTTCAGGACGACCATGTAAAAGATCTCCACAGGCTACCAGGTTATCACCCCTGGCACACCAGGAATTTGTTTTGCCCATTTTTTTTTTCAACCCTGTAGCATATAAACCTTTTGGATTTTAGAATCTCAGCATTTTTCAGCCACAGGAGTTCAGTTGCAAACCCTTGGCACTTCCTTATTTCTGAGGCAGATAACACAGTTTTGTGTTTTGTGACGGGCTAGAATGACTAACACAGTTTTGATAATATTGCTTAAAGTTCTTGTCTGAGCGAGTTTGATTTATTATATTTCTGGCTGGGCATCCATATTACCTTTTAATCAGATAATTTGTTCAGTTGATCAAATTAAACATTCGTTTAGTTTTTACTATTCTTCTGATTACAAAGACATTTGCTACAATCTGGAAAAGTTAGTTTTCTTTTTTCATCTTCAGTTTAGTAAAGATATTGAAATATTAGATTTGCAAAACAAAAACTATAAGGTCATAAAGCTAAAAAAAAAAACCCTAAGGCTTTTGTGTGACTGAGTTTTTGTACATTCTACAAAGTGTATCACCACCAAAAGATAATGATTCCATTATTCTATGGAGCAAGTCATGGCCTGTCACATTCCCAGTTCACTCCTCGCCTGAGCCCAGGAGTGGAGAAAGCTGACAGAGAAAGCATTCCGCTCCGAAAAACCCAGGCTGTTTCTGTAAGAAGGAACCCCATGGCCGATGCTTCCAACTCGGAACTCTGGGTTTTCAGAACTGACTTGTCATTAAATGATATCTATCCTGCTAGGTGCACAGTTTTAGAGGTGGTCAGTGTGATTCTAAACTTTTCATCTTTTTACTTTTCTGAAAGGGAAGACATAAAGAAATTAAAATCTTATTAGTGATCCTGAAAATCACTGATTTGCAGTTCTCATAAACGACATCATTCTTCTGAACTTCTGGAGTTCGCCCACATGGACTGAATGTAGTCTAGGGATATTCTTCCTCTGTTTTCCCAATCATTCCTGTTGTTAGGTGGATCAGGGTTACTGAGAAAAATTTCTAGTCTTGATTTGCTTGGCTGTTGTTATAAGATTAACAAAATGGAAAGGGTTCTAGCAAAAGCAGTTGTCTGAACCTTTTCTAACCTTGAATGCCTGCTTGAGGTTTGGGTGCTCTGTGACAACCCTCTCCACCTTCAAATCCAGCTCTGCTGTTTTCCTCCAGAAAGCAGAACTCTGGTTCTAAGGCCAATCTTTAACTTCCTGTTTGCCATTCTGATGTATGTCAAGTGAACGTTTTACAATGAGGTATGTGTTAATCTGGGCATTTTCCTTAATTGCTGAGCAGTTTTCGCCAAAAGCAACATCAAAATATTAATATTCCCTCCAAGTCATGGCTGGCCGAGAGTTCGCTCCATCTGGAAAAATATGACGTTTTAAAACTGTGCAGTCAAGTGAACAGACCAATTCGAAATAATTACAGGAAAATGAAGATGGGTTGATCTTGTGATGTCATTCAAACAAACTTTACACCCTGTCTCTCTAACTGGCATCCCATAAGCTTTTTCCATGACTGCTAGAAAAGAAAACATGAGTAGGCGCTTATGATGTATAATATATTTTAAGGCATAAATTTGAAATACTAAAAGGAAGTGACTAACCTCCCTCCGTTTATTTGCCTTTTTCCAGTACAGAAGTGCCTGGAAGAATGTGGCAGTCCAGCCTTAGGGGTCTAGTGTAACACTGAGCTGGGCACACTTGTGAATAAGTAACAAGCATTGCATTGCTCAGGCAGTGTGTGAAAATGTACCACATACCCATTTGTTATTGATATGCATTTGTGATTATTTAGCAAATGATCTCTGGCCCCTTCAGCTTCTTCTTTTCTTTCTCCTTGAACGTTGTCCTGACCAGGGCGGAGGAATGTACACAGCAGTCCCTCAGATCGACCCGCTGGAATGCGTTAACTGTCGGAACTGCCGGAACAACAATAGGTATGTTAGCGTGTGCCCAGCCACATTTGCCGTGGCCAACACATTCTATGCCGCCTCCTTGTTTTCCTAAACTTAACACAAAACTCCACCACCCTCAGTTGAAGGCTGTTAATTTTTCCCCTCAGCTTTGTGATTTTTACCTTTCTGTGCCTCAGTTTCTCTAGACGTGTAGTGACAATACTAAAGGCTTTGTTTCTTAACAGAGTGTTGCTGAAGGGTAAGGTTCCTCTCTCTATACAGTCCCATTTCTTGTTTGCACGTTGTGTTGGGATGAGGATAAACACAATGGGTCATGTGTAAGCAGGAAACAAAAGCATCTCTTTTCTATAGGGTAGTTTTCCATAATAATATTGCTGGAATTTTCCTATTAGATCATACAGTGTTTCTTTTCTCTTCTCCTTTTTTCTTTAATTCTTAACATCTTAAGATACATAAGAAGATGAATTTTACTTGGACTGTGGTGGTGCATGCCTTTAGTCCCAGTACTCAGCAGGCAGAAGCAGGTGATCTCTGTGAGTTTGAGGCCAGCCTGGTCTACACAGCGAGTTCCAGGCCAGCCAGGATACATGAGAGTCCCTGTCTCAAAACAAAACAAAAACCACAAGAAATTTTGCATATGTGTGCATGTGTGTGTGTGTACATGAGTATGGGTACACGTGTGTGTGCGTGTATATGTACATGAGTATGGATACACATGTGCATGTGTGTGTACATGAGTATGGGTACACGTGTGCACATGTGTATGTGTGTGTGTACATGAGTATGGGTACACAAGTGTGTGTGTGTGTGTGTGTGTGTGTGTGTGTGTGTGTGTGCACTTAAAGGATGACATCAGCGGTCATTCCTTAGGTCTACCTTGTTTTTGGAGACCAGACCTCTCAATTGGCCTGGAGCACATCCAAGAGTCTGTGCCAGCTCACAAACCCCAAGGATCTGCCCTCTCTGCCTTCCCAGCACTGGGTTACAAACACAGACCACTAGACCAGGATTCATGGCTATCTCCCCAGCCCAAACCTTGCTTTTTAAATTTACATTTTCAGTTGTAAAAGTGACATATACAAAAGTTCAAATAAGAAAATTATGTAGAGTACTATGTATATTTTTAGTCTTGACACACAGGAAACAGGCATGGTGGCACAACTCTTTAATCTCAGTAACCTGTAACCCCCAAATTTGGGAATATTACAAGTTCAAGACCAGCCTGGGCTATATAGTAAGACCCTGTCTCAAACATAAGCAAACAAAAACTCACCAACTTTGACACGTTTAATATAAGAAAGCTTTCATATTATTTCTGTATATATTAATTACTAATATATTAAATATTAATTGTAAAGAACTAACAGACAGCTTGTTAAGAGTCTTGAATTTTAGCTGGGCCTGATAGTACAAGCCTTTAATCACAGCTGCTTGGGATGGTGAGGCAGGAGAATTGTAGGTTCAAGGTTAGCCTGGCATGGGGGTGGAGACCCCTAGTTCTTTCTTATACTTCTGTATATATCAATTCCTAAGGATTATTGAAGTTGCCTCAGAAATCTTGGTTCTTTTCCATAATGATAGTATTAAATTACATGCTTAAAAATCCATTCCACCTCTGAAATTCTACAACTAGAAAGCTTAGAACACTAGATAGCTGAAGTGTAGCCTGAAGTTTGGATCATGCATTATCAAGAAGGGTTCAGTTTGTTACTTTTAAATGAAGTAAAAGGTTAAGATTTATCCCTGGGAATCGGTGACACCAGAAAGACCTAGCCAGCCATACAATCAAAAGTGCATCCTTTCAAGGCAGGCGAGCTGGGTTTGCGCTGGAATGAAAGCAAGCCTGGACTACATAGTGAGACCCATCTCAGAAAACAAACAGTACATTGTTTTAGCAATTCTCAGAACAGATAATAAATCATTGCTACTTTTAGTTACTTACTTAACTTGTAAATGCTTACATATTAGCAAGAGCTCTCTGCCTAGTTTGTGTGGTAAGAGTTACATATTTCAATTCTGTGACACTCGTTTTAAAAATGCGTGTATATCAAAGCCACATTTTTGTTCAGAGTTTGTCCCAGGCTATCGGCACAGTTAGTTAAGAAAACATGGGAAAGAACTTGTAGTAGACCTAAGTGTGGTAGCTCTTGCCAGTAACCCCAGCCCTTGAGAGGCTGAGGGGGTCAGCTTGGGCTGCAGAGCAAGACTATATCTCCAAAAACTATGGAGGGGGAGGAGGAAGTTCATGAAGCGGGCTCACACGCTCGGCAGTAAGCAGGTGGGTTAATTTAACAAGCGGCAATGAGAGGTTTATGCTTTGTGTTGTCCTTATGTGGTTCTTGTGGTCGTCGCAGATCGTGACTATTCGAGTGTTGTAATGAGGGGATCTTTGGTCTAAGAATAAGTAGTCCTGTGCTTTGCCACTGCTTAAACTGGCGATCTTGGGAAATTTACATAGTATCAAAGTTAGCACCCTTATCTGAAAAGTGAAGCATTGTTCTGAGTACTAGAAGACTGATCTGAACACAGTACCATATAGAATTTAGTGAAATGTCTTGATGGTAAGATTTCATCTTGTGCCCAAAATAGATCTCCCTCACTTCTTCCTTCCTTCCTTTCTTTCTTCCTTCCTTCCTTCCTTCCTTCCTTCCTTCCTTGCTTCCTTCCTTCCTTCCTTCCTTCCTTCCTGCCTGCCTGCCTTTCTTTCTTTTTGTTTTTTTTGAGACAGGATTTCTCTGTGTAGTCTTGGCTTTCCTGGAACTCACTTTGTAGACCAGACTGGCCTCGAACTCATAAAGTTCCACCTGCCTCTGCCTCCCAAATGCTGGGATTAAAGGCATGCACCACCACCGCCCAGTTTAGATCACATTTCTTTAAAAGAATTTAAATGACCTCTGCCAACTTCAGTTTGGCTATTACATGCACATCTGTGTAGAATTAGGTGGTTTTATTATGAATTATAATTATATTTCTCTTAATTCTGAGGTTAGTAGCTTTCTGCATTTCAAATTTGTTTCACTCCTGTCTGGACCAGGTGAATTCTCTTCAGCTGTGTTTCTCCCTGGCTTAAATGTTCTTCCTGCATGAAAATCCAGTTGTTTAGGGAAACACCCCCCCCACACACACACACACACACTCAGTAGTAGCAGCAGCAGTACATTTCACATCTTAGTCTTACGTTTAAAGAGCAGAAGCAAACCTTTGATTCTATAAAGTACAGAAGGAGGCATGTGTTCAATGTTGAGAAACCCAGTGCAAGTTGCATCTTAATTCATACGAAGCCTTTTGAGGAGTGTGGAGTGTTCGAGTGTTCGGGGACATGCTTCTGCTTGACACATAGTAGCGTGCACAGGCTGTGTTGGCGAGGGGGAGACTGTGACACATTGTTGTAAGCAGACTTGGCCTTCATTCCAGCAGTGAGGAAGTAAGGAATGAAACTCGAGATTGTCATCATTCGTTGTCTGACAGAGTCCAAAGCATTGAAATCAGAGCTGGGGAGATGGCTCCCCTGGCTGAGGTGCTTGTTGCCAGGCCTGACTACGTGAGTTCGGTAACGAGGACCCACTTGATGGAAGAAGAGAATGGACTCACACACGTTGTCCTCTGACCTCCACGCGTGTGCCATGTTCCATGTGCACAGACTACACCGACTAAACAAACAAATGGTTTTTTTAATTAAATTTTTTTTTTTTTGAAAAAAAAAAGATTCCAAATATGTAGACCTTATCAAATGTGAATGACATGGTTGGTAATTGCCAGGTGGTGGACATGGAAAGAAGCAACCTAATGAAGCGGTACATTGAGGAAAAGTGATGAATTTGGTCTCAGGTGTCTGAGGTTCTAGTACCGGTTGTTGCCGATCCAGGGAGACAGGCAGGGATACTGTTGTTTGGGTGAAGATACTGGGACTGCAGTACAGATGTGGTAACATCTGTTTCAAAGTTTGCCAGGCCGTGCCTATAGTTGCAGTTTGATATCTTCAAAGGAGACAATAGCCTTGGATGGTTAATTTTAACCCATTACTTGAGCTGCTGATTTGCTTTCATTTATTTTGGAATTCAATTACTCATTCTTTTTATAAGATGTTGCTTTTTCTTTTTTCTCTCACTACCTTGGTAGTATCTTCGAAGAATAACAGAAATGAGGAGAGAGTGAGAAAGCAAAAAGAAGGCATGTTCACTCAGCAGGCATTCGCTGCAGGTCCCCAGTGAGCCATAGGCGTAGGGAATACAGCACAGATCTTCTAAAAGAAAAGAATAGGAGCTATTAGGTCTCCCTAAGCGGATAGCAGTTTGTTAACGATGGAGAATTTATAAAATGAGGGAAAAGGGACAGGCTAGGTTTGAAGCTTTCCAGGCAAAGGGTACTACTTATGTGGAATCTCTAAATCAGGATGCCCACAGCCCCCACATAACTTAAGGAAGGTTGATGTTCCCGGAAACTATTAAAAGAAAGGGTCAGAGGTAAAAGGTTAATGAAACTATGTCATCCCAAGCCACAGCAGGCTAGTGAAAGATTTTAAGCAGCTCATCACCAGGTACAACTGTGGTCATCAGGCACACTGTAGGCCCAGTATGGGAACCGAGTGAGAGGTGGAGTGGATGTGATTTATAAATGTCAGGCACTAGCTTGTTGATCTGGGGAAAGGGTGAGTCCCTGTCACCAGGTGCAGTCATCTCCCTGGGAAACAGAATTGACCAAGAGCTCCTTGCCCAGCAGTGTGCTGTGGGACCTCTGGGGTTAGCCTGGAAATCGCTCTTCTGTTCCACAGATGCCTGAGAACCAGGCAGGGCTCATTTGGAGTCTCTCTGTGCAGCAACTCACCTGCCCTGCAACCTGCTCCTCCTTTCCTCTGCCTTCTCAGGTTTGAAACCCAGATGCATTTCTTAGAGCTGGGCTTTTAAGAACCAGTTGTTGCTAACCCTTTGGGAATCCCTTTTCTCTTCCCTCCATTTTAGCAGTGACACAGGGGAGCAGGGTTGACACTATTGACGTAACTGGAGTACTGATATGTAAACAAT